ACAACAGCAATCCCGAAGGCAGCAAAATACTTCGGGTCCGAGATGTAGGCATATAAAATTGCTTATAGGTTGAATGCCGCTTAGACTTTCTTTTATCAGCCACGTTGATGGTGACTTCAGGGAATCCATCATCTTGGGTAGCTGATTTTCTTTTGCGGAAATGTCTCGGTTTAAGCTTTGACAATACAGAGACTCTTCGTGGGATGGCTTCTCGTTTGAAACAGTCACATTCTGATAATGCTGCGGAGGGTCGTTCATCCCACCAAGGATTGCTTTGCTCTTAAGAATAGCATTCAGACCTTGTTTGAAGCCGATGTCATATCGCTCAGATAAGCCAAATAAGAACGGCAATACTCCGAAAAGTATACGAGTATAAACTGCTTCTTAAAACTCCAAAGAGTATATGAGTATAAACTGTTTCTCAATCCTCCAACGGGTGCAAGAGGTTAAACTGCTCCCTGCATACTCCAATAGGTATATGAGTCTAAACTGTTTTCTCTGTTGGCATGACCTCCCAGGTATGACGATATCATTTGGTGAATGCGTCTTCTTCTGGGAGTGTAAAATCTTATTGGCATTCTCAGGATAATTTATTTCTGTCTTTGAGCGATCCACGGTTATGTCGGGAGTCACACGTTTAAAACCACCCCCTTGCGGGCGTGAAGTCTTAACGGGCTCCGAATGCTGATTTTGTATAAGTCCAGACTTTGGAATCCAAACTTGGCGGAGTTTCGGTGGTTCTTTGGCCACCGTTTCCTTCTTCCTTTCTCGTCTTTGTTGTAAGAGAGCACGGAACGAGTCTTTTTGACAATAGTCCATTCCTCCATCGTGAGTTTAGCAGAGACATGAGTGATTGGTCGTTGAGACAACTGAACCACTCGATGTCTCCTCGACTCTAGGTCCGCGTGATAGCAAACCCCGTCAGTTTGTTCCAAGGCCTTAGCTATTTGACGAGCGCGGCGCTGACATTGTCTCTGACGAGCCCTCTTCGTCAGTGCTGGTGGGCTTCCTCTCGATTCCCCCAATAAACGAGAGGTCCACAAATCGAGCGATCAAACCTTCCTACAGTTAGGATCACCTCAAATTCACGCTTGGTCAAACCTTCCTACAGTTAGGACCAAAACCACAATTCACTCTCGATAAACGAGAAATTCACCTCTTTGATTCGATGACTCTTTAACTAGATAAGAGTCATTGTGAGCAAAGGTGTTGCGAGTAAAATCCTCATCAACAATCAGGCGAGAGTCTTCATTTTGTGCCATCTTTGGCATGTAAGTCTTCCTCAATTGTGAGATCCTCTTATACTTGCGAGACAATGAAGATCTTGAAGACCTTTAGTTCGGTAATCAAACCTTCTGACAGTTAGGATTATCCGAGTTTTCGATTCTCGGAGTGGAGGTGTAGGCATCAAAAATTGCCTATAGGTCTCCACGAACGGTTCAATGTTAAAGAGCGACGATGAACATCACTATCCGATCCACAGGAGTTCGATTGACGTCGATGAACGATTAAAGTGAATCGACGAACTACGTGAGCATGGATTCAACCGGGATCTTGATGATTGGCTGCGACACGACGGTCTCGGCAGCGAGACCGTTGGCTCCTACTGTGGTCGCCAGTTTGTTTGCGTCAAAAGTTGGTCTTGCTGTAGAATTCATTATATCTTCGGTCGATTACAATAAATTCAAAAGAAATGGTCTTTTTATAAGACCTCTTCTACACAACAAAAGGAAAATTACAACTCTTGAGAAACAAACGCAGGATCGTTGTTTGGATCGCTGCTTGTGTGGGATCTTTGCCTGTGCCGGGAGCGCTTTGACTCGTGGACCACCGAATCACAGATTCTGATTGAACCGTGAGGGGTTTAATGATTCTTCCTTCATTTATCGAAGTAAGAATTTGAAACGATATCTTATCAAAGTAAGATAGTCGTTCTTCTTAAAATCAAGTCAAAGCTTAATTTCAAGGAGTTGCCGGAAGCTCAAGAACTCTGCTCTGTCTGCTCTGAAGTGCTCCAAATGATCAGCCCCTGTGACAAATGGCCTTCGGGGGGTATTTATAGCCCCTAGGAACAGTTGGCAGAAAACAAAATCGCGAGACAGCATTTGCTGTCTCGGCTGCCGAGACAGTGTTTGCTGTCTCGGCGGGCGAGACAGTGTTTGCTGTCTCGGCCCGCGAGACAGTAAATGTTGTCTCGGAAACAGTAACCGTCAGGCAGTTTTC